TACAGCTGGTGAAGAATTTTATTGACAAGGACTAGGGGTCAGTTTGTGTTCATTTAACTCATTAGCAAGGTTACATAAAGTGTGTGTACTTGGAAGACCAGGGCAGAAAGGTGGTGTCTACCCATTTTCATATAAATAACACGTCACTTGAAAAAAAATCTCAAAAAAAAAATTGCATTTGGAGTTAGTCGTTCCGTAAGTGTATTGACTTTGTGGGTCTTGTTTGTGTCATTTTTAGCGAACAAAAAAAGCGGAATGTCTGTGTCATCAACTGGTCAGGGACTGAGAATGAAAAGAATTCATATAATAGTTGCGAATACGCATTGAGCGGTTACTAGAGGACCAGCGCCGGTCTCAGAATGCACACGTACCGTGGTGTTTTATCTTTTCACCACTTAATTAGGCAGGCAAATTACTATTTCCTCTTAGAATGAAACTCAGGTTTTTAAGGTTTTAAGTTATAAACTCCATCGACATTTAATAGAACCATAAAAGTGTGAAGCGGAGGCCGCACACCCAAGCAGTGAGCCCCCAAAAGATGGATGGCCCCCGGCGCAGTATCCTACATGCCCTCCGGTGAGGCAGGAAGGGGGTCCTGCATCCTCCGTCACAGCCGCCCTGTTTCAGGTGGCCGTGAATGAGCAGGCTGCAACCACCGTGTCCCTGACGGAAGGGAAGGAACTCTGGAGGTCCCGCTTATTCAGCTCCTCTGACCTCTGTGAAGCCTCTCCCATGTGAAAGGCGTTTCGTGGAGCTCAGAAATGACCAAGGTGTTTGGTTTGTGGGGGAGAAGGGGCCGTTATCCCGGCCTCACGAGTGTCGGGGCTCGTTGCTTTCGAGAACCCCGCCATAGTGAACAGGTGTCCGTTGATGCTGGGTGTGCCAGGGCCTGTGCTAAGAAGCAGTTTCCATTCATTATCTCCGTGGTTCCCAAATGCTGATCCACAGTCATCTGATTTCATAATGACATTTTCAACAGACTGCAGCTAAATGAGAAAATTAAGGGCAATTTAGTGAAATTTTTAATAGACTAAAATTTAATCATTTTGAAGGGCTGTCCTTTATTTTGAGATTATGTCCTTCTTACTTTTTGGTACAAAATGCCCTTTCTGTTATGAAGTGATGATGATAGCAGATGGTATGTGCCAGTGTGTGTGTGTGTGTGTGTGTGTGTGTGTGTGTGTGTTTACTAACTTGTCCAAAAATAATTAGAAGTCATTAATTTCATTCCATGCTTTTACTGGTTTTAAACTTTAATAATAAAGTTCATGAATTCGGGAGAAAAAAATCAGGGTATCGTTGCAGTTCTGTGAGGGAGCTGTTATTAGCCCCATTTTACAGATTAAAAAACTGAGGGTCAGAGCGGTTCATTCACACATTCATGTTCACATAGCCTGAAAGTAGCAAATCTTGGCTGCAAATCTAGGTTGTGTGTTTCTGTAGACCCAGAATACCTCCACCAGTGGGCATGCAGGCACTTTTGTCCATGTGTCTGTCTATATGTACACACACACACACACACACCACACACACACACACACACACACACACACACACACACAAAGAGATTGTAGGTCTTTATTGTTTGGGGTTGCTTGTGTTTGGTATCCACCCAGGCACTTTTATTACATATTCTCTGAAACTTCTTAACGATCTTTCCTGGAGATTTTTCCAAGGGAAGACTCGTGGACACACCTCATTCTTTCTAACAGCTGCATGGTATGCATGTGCTGGAATGTGCTTTACTATTGTCCTATTGATTTACAAGCAGCCCCGGGATGGATAGCCTGGTGTGTGCATCTCTGCACCCATCTCAGGTATTCTGCTGGATGGATATCTAGAACCGGACGAATGAGGTAGAAAAATAAGCACATCGTGAGTGCCAAACTGTCATGTCCAGAACCTTACCAGTTCTGAATCCCACCAAGTGTTTGAGGCTACCCACTTCTCCACCACATCAATTCTAGACAGTACTGGTCAGCATTTTATTTATTTAACTAGTCGATTTTTAAAAATAATTGATGTCAATCTCGTGGACAGAAGATCGCAAAAAACGGTGGTAAACAACCCATAGAATTTTGAAAAGAGCTTTTGCAGTGGGAGCTAGTTGTGAACTGGGGCATGGTTTGTACTTGGGTGTCTTGGTCCCGCGGACACCTTGTGCCCAGGAAGCTTGACAGTCCCTGACCCAGAAGCAGCCTCTTGTCCCCAGCTCAGTCCTGCTATCATATGCAAAGCAATTGTCTCCAACGGCATGGAATTGGTTCTGCCTAAGCCTCAGCTCCTTGCTCTGAACGCAGTGCTCTTCTGAGAGCAGGGCGATTCTCGGCCCTCCAACTCCACGCTTCGCAGTGAGCATGCCTTTGCCAGGAAAACTGTCTGACGAATGGCGCTTCTGTAGGGTAGCTCAGAGGGACCATCAGGGGCTGAGACCTCACTTTAGAGGCCAAGGGGCCAGCTTAACATACAGAGAGATCAAATCAAATCAAATTAAAAAAACAACAACAAAAAAAACCCCTCAGAATCCTTGGATTCCTTGTTAAGCAGAAAGAGACAAGAAGTCAAGGTCATTTGGTCCAAATTCCTATTGTATTCATCCCTTCATCCATCCATCCATCCGTCCATCTATCTGTCCGTCCGTCCACCCACCAATTCAGTGTTTTCTCAGTGCCTGCTATCTGCCAGACAGTGTGTTGGGTCCTGTACTTCACGTAGTTAAAGCTGCAGGTGAGAATGTTTCTGATGTTTAGACATTAGGAGCCTCAGACTTCCCACCACCACGCTCAGTGGACTGACCCAAGAGAGCACCAGGGTTAATCTAGTCGGCAAATCAGGGGGCTCGCCAATCAGGGTGGAAGGGATGAGGGTGCAGGAGGCTTTTCTTGCTGACGCCGCCTTTAAAGCAGAGCGAGCCCGCTCTTTCTACAGCGTTTGCTGCAGCCCACCCAGCCCCCGTCATCGCAGGTGTCCCCATCCTGGGATCCTGTTCCTCCTCTTGTTTTTTCCACAGTGCTCATCGCCTCCTGTGCTCTGTACTGTTTACTGCTTATCCGTGTTTCCTGCCCCTTCTCAGAATGTAAGCTCCCTGATGTCAGGAGTCTCCGCCTTCCCCCACTGATAAAGCCCTAGGGACCGGAACAGTGCCTGGAATGTAATCAGCGCTAACCAAATATCACCTAAGTGTTTCAACAAGTAGGTGACTCAAAGTGCTTGTGACAGAGACAATCAATAGTGACGTTTTCTCCAGACACTTTTAGTCTCACTTTTCTGAAGCTTGAGACTATCTAACTGCCTGTATCAGAATTTGGAGGTGAGGGTAGCATACGTCACTGTCATGGAGCAAATAGCCATTCCTTCTCTCTCCCTGGAGTTTTTCCTGCCCTGAGTCTTGGCACGTCCCCTAGAAAAATCTTCCTTTCATTAAACGTCTACCTTTTGGACTGCCCCAGGAAGCCACACTAAGGAGTTATGAGATGCAGAAAAAACAACAACTACGATTTCCTCTATTCCTTTAAATAGCTGGCGAATTTGAGTAAAGGCAGAGTTACAAATACCGTTGTGTGGATCAAATGAAAACGGGGACAGTGGCCTAAGGAAGTATCGTTTGGAAGAGGCACTGCTCCCTGCACGGTATGTACAGCCATTCACTTAAGAGGCCTTGTGGCTGAAAAGCAGGCAGGCTGGTGGCCCTTGACCTTGGCATGGGATACAGAAACTCCAGTGGTACTGAGTGCCCAGGGCTTCTTTGTAGAGAGAGAGGGGCATTGCCTCCCCGCCCACTCCTCCCGTTTACTGATGTAGAATCGCTGGAGAGCTGATAACATTCATGTGGCTATTCCTCAGCCTGTGTTGAGGTGGAATTCAAGTTCAGCATCCCCCGGTGCTGCAAAAGGCTGGCAGAGTCTTGCCATCGAGTGAGCAGCAGTTGCAGATATGGCATTACCCCCTTGATCTGGGGTCATCCGGTGCTCTGTTCCTGGGCTGCGCGCACTGGGGGCAGGACTGTTGGGACTCCATTTCGAGATGCATCTAGGAGGTCTGCATTCCGTTGTCTCACTTTGCAGACTTCCAAGGCGTCTGACAGTGAACACCTGAGTTGAAGCGGAAGCCTGGGCCATGATTGCCCAATGGGTCTGTAGGAATCCGAAATCACCCACAGAGGGTTTAAAACTTTGGGGAGAAAACTGACTGGAAAACCCAGGCTTGGCTCAGGGCAGCCGAGAGCAGCTATTGGCTCCTTGCATCATGCATTTGTTTTCCATCAAACCATTCAGATAAGGTCTTATTAAAGTGCCATGTATTATTTATTGTGTTTCTTGTGGAAGTGAGCTGAAGGGAAAATTCTGTCCTCTTTGGGGGGCATTTGCAGCCTTTTCCAGTGCCAGTGAGAAAAAGAATGAAAGGAAGCAAGGCAAACCCCAGTCAGCACAGCAAGTAGTTGGAGGCAAAAGGCAAGGCTGGGGGAGGGAGAGGAAGCACTGAAAAGGCAGAATCTCTGACCTTTTATTCCATAGGTGTTCTGCGGAGTGCCTTTCCCTTTGATTTTGTGAGTTGCAAAATTAAAAAAAATAATAATAATGAAAGACAGGCAGAAAGAAAAGGAAGAAGAAAGAGAGAAACATTTTATTTGCAAACCAGACGAATGTGACATCTGAGACAACATATATAGAGAGGATTTTTCAAATTAATGACTGCCACCCCACCCCCCCTTCCAAAACAAAAACAACAGCCCAGCATAAAATACCAGCCTGTACCCCATATCAACTTTTGCTTGGGCTTAAGCATGCTACTGTGTCACCTGTAAATTGACGGGATGTGTGAGTCCCAGCCAGCGTGTTGGAGGGACTGTTTGTAAGGGGAGAAGCAGAAAGAAACTGCCTGCTTGGGGCCCAGTGTTTGGCAGAGTGAAGACTTTATAGTTATTGATGACGTTTGCAAACAGAACAACAGAACATGGAGCTGCGGAGTCATTAATTTCCTTTTCTTCAGAAGGCATTTTGATTAGCCTGCAAAGTGACTTGCGAGCTGATGGCTCAGTCCAGAAGCTGTCATTTGGCTGAGTGTCCCAGGGAGACTCATGGAGGGGTCGGTTGGGGTGCCCCTGGTGGCCAGTCCCTGCGTCCAGCCCTCAGTGCTCTCTCCTGAGGGTGCCCCAGCACTTCCAGGGTGTCTCTGTCCTACAGGGCTTTGCTAAGCCAGCAGCAAGGGTTCGTGCAGGAAACCTAACAATCGAAGGAGAGGCTGTGAACAGACTCTTGCTCAGAAAAAGCAAACGAAAATCCGATCACTGGGTCAAAATCTATATCACAAAATATGGCATTATCCCTGATCATGACTTTACAGCTGCCAAGAATGTGCTTTTTTTTTTTTTTCCTGTGGGGACCAAGGATGTGTTCGAGTCTTAATATTTTCTTTTGATTTGCAGATCACATCCTATTTTATAGCAAAAAGACTAAGGAAATCTACTAATGAATAATTATTACTTCATAAAATAAAGGGGAGGAGGGAGACCCCTCTGCAAGAGCAGAATGCTAATTTGGCCGAGGAGGGCTGGCGAGGCAAGGAAAACAATTAAATAAATAAACCATGTCATTTGCCCGCTGCAGCCACAGAGTAGTCTCTTAGCAGACGTGGACTCGCCGGCCCTGTGCATTTATAATCTGAGAAGAGTGGGGTTCTAGGCTGGGAGAAGCCCCCCTTGCGTTCACCCAGGGCTGGCGGGTTAGTTAGTCCAACAGGCTGGATTTCCACGCCAGCCAGGGCGGTTTCTCGCACTCGGCGGCTCCGGGCTGGTTGGTGTGCCGACTGCTGCCCGCCCAGCCGCGGCGAGGCGCCCAGGGAAAGCTGCGCCCCAAAAGCCTGGGGGTGGGGGCCCCAGAAAGCACCCTGCCTCGCGTGCCAGCAGCCCCCGCCCCCCCCGTGCCCCCGGCCCCGAGTGTCCTTCCAGCACTTTACGAGGGGTAAATCCCACTTGAGTGTCGACGTGCCAATGAGTCTGGCAAACAAATCGCCGCCGAAACCTAAGACTCTGGGTCCCAGCTGGGCGACCGCGTGAATCGTCCGGCTGCTCTGGATGCTGGCGATGTGGGGCGCTCGCCCGCTCGCCGCCTCGCCCGCCCCACGGAGGTTTTTAGCAAACACAATTTGAATTTTGGTGAGTCGTTTAAAAAAAAAAAAAAGGCAAAGGGGAGGGAAAAAGAAAAAAAAAACAAAACCCAACCCTGCCCTGGACCCATTTGACAAATGAGAAGGCACGCAGTATCAGGACCAGCGGAGTGAGCCTCAGTGTGAGTCAAACCTCTCTCTCTCTCTCTCTCTCTCTCTCTCTCTCT